TGAATGGCTGCTCCTCCTTCTAGAGAAACCATCTCAGAAAAGAGGACATCTTTCTTGGCAGAGATGTAATCCATGTCAGCAGCTGCTCCCACTGTCCCTCTCAGGAGCAGAGGGACACTCGAGCAGGGATCTGCCTGCACAGCCTGTCCCAGGGCTGCTGGACACTCCCCACAGCAAGGGTCCCCTGGAACAGTGGGATGCAGGAGGGAAGGAGCTCAAAGGGGGCCTGAGAAGCGGTGGGGACAGCTGGTGGCTGGATGCAGCCCATGGGGGGAGGCAGGCAGCAGGCGTGTGGTGAGTCTCCTCACGGGCACCCCATGCCAGGGTGATGGCTGGGGACAGCACTGCCAAGGCAAGTTGTCCTCTGGAATTTTGGATGTGCTCCAGAAAGAATGGCTCTCACTTTCCTGCTCTCCTCTAACAGGCGCCAGTCTCTGACAGGCACCAATGTGCCCCTGCTCAGCCCGGGGGCAGCTCCCCTGGAGCAGCACGGGGCAGGCAGGCAGGGAGGAGGCTGTGACCACCCTTCCTGACGCACCCAAAGCCACCTGCCACCGCCATCCTGTCACCCATCACCCTGTGTGTGTCCCCCCTCACAACCACAAGGCACTCTAGGGCAGACAGACATCTTGTGCAAACCTTGACAGAGAGAGAGAGAGAGAGAGAGAGAGGGAGAGATCTCTGACAGCCCAACCAGCCCCCTGGTCCCCCCAGCAGGGACAGGGCAGGCAGACCCCAGCTGGACAGAGCCAAATTATTCCAAAGCTGGGCTGAGGGTTTGCAGGAGAGCTGGTTTGCCTGGAGACAGAAACCAGAGCGTGGGTCATAAATTTAACTCCATCTTCCCTCTGCCACCTGAGCCGTGCTTGGCGCCACGAGCTGGCCCTGCCCCAGCTTGTGCCCCAAGCTGAGGGTCACCCCCGGGCTCAGCAGCTGGAGCCCCCCAGTCTCTCTGTCTCTGTCACAGTTCCTCACAAATTCAATGGCACAATGCAGCTACACTATTTGAAAAGCCATAATATTTGTTGGTACGACTCTTTTATTACTGTCAATTTATATATATATTTGTTGATAAAAGAGGTCATCTTGGGAGACACTTCCAGTCTACTGGGAAATAATTGTCCGATGCTGTATATTCTGTACATGCTGTATAAACAAAGCAAAATATGTAAATCTCAATGTTTGGTGGACTCGGTGCTGCAGGGGGAGACTGGCACCAGGCGAGGCCCCTTCTGGGGCCACCACGGCTCGGGCTGGGGGCTCCCAGCAGAGACCCCGTCCTGCTGGGCTCTGACACGGTCTGGGGCAGGGTCTGGCCCTGCGTGCGGCTCCCTCGGTGCACGAAGGTGGAAGGGGCAGCTTTGGGAGCGGGAGCAGCCGCGCTTTCCCTCCCTCCCTCCTGGGGCACAGCAGGGGCCGGGCACGGCCGGACCCATCCGGAGCCCGGGGTCACCCAGCTGCTCCCCAGCCCGCAGCCAGCGCCCAGCAGGACATCTGGAAGCCTTGGGGGTCCCAGAGAGACGATTCCCCGCGGGAAGGCAGAGACTGGCTCCGAGCATCCGGCTTCTCCAGCTCCTTCCCAGCCAAGCCAGCCGCCCTCCCTGGCGTGTCCTACAGCAGCCACGAGCTGTGACCTTCTAACCCGACACACGCTCCTAGAAAACCTGTTTCATATTTTCCGTGGTATTGATCTACAACTTTTGAAATTATTGGACACAGTCGTGGTAGCCTAAAAGTTGTGCTGAGCTCATATATTTTTATATTTGTGGTGTTTTCCTATCAATAGAGAGTAGTGAACCCTATAGCTGAAAGTGAACTATTCAAAATAAATATATGACTGCAGAAAATATTTGTAAAAATAATTTATTTTAAATATTCTGCCAAAGATAGCTCTCTAATGATCTGTAAGATGTCGTTTCTCTCTTTTTGCTCTGAATGTCATTGTGAAAGGACCTTTCTCCCCATATCTTTTGAAGATTTCTTTTTTTTTTTTTTTTGTATCTTTAAGGGCAAAGAAATATTCCAATGATTTTTTACTAGAGCAGTAAATAGAGTAGTAGGGAGGCACGAGACAACTCTGCAAAGGTGACAAACAGGATCCAGTAACAATCACTCTGAAAATCCGGTTTTTCCCATGGTTCCTCTGGCTGACAGATGGGGTTGGAAGCCTGGGACAGCTGTCCAGCAGGAAGACCTTGGCTGCTGCTGCTGCTGCTGCTGTGGCTGCTGTGTAGTTTCCCCAAAGGAGAGAAATCTCCCAAGAATCCCATCCCCAGGCTAGGGGCATTTGGATCCCCTTGCATCCAATCTTAGCCTCTCCATTATTTATGGGCATGATTTATTTACTATCCCTTAATAGGCCCTGTGGCACATGGGGAACCCTCACCCAGAGCTTTGTGGGGCTTCAGCCCAAAGCCATTCCCTCCCACACCTGCCAGCAGCCCTGAACCCCTGGCACAGGGAATCCTGCTGGCATCCAGACCTGTCCCCTTCCTCACGTGGGGACAGGACAGGGGGCAGCCAGCCAACAGGGGACACTTTGGCAAGAGGATCCATCCCTGCAGGTATCCACTAAAAACAGGGGGAAGTACAGCCTTTTACCATGGAGAAGCTGCCTAGATTAGCCTTTGAGAAATGACTATTTTTTTTAATTATTATTATTGTGGAGAAAAATCTTTCCCTTCTTCATTTCTCCCTTTTGAAATGACTTTTCAATACTAGGGAAAGCCTTCACTATCTTCTGTGATCCCCAGGTCTGCTGCAGTGGAAATAAATCCTCAGCCACGTCTGTTAGGCTCCACCACTTCAAAGAGATTTTTGGCTCAGATTTTTTCCCTTCTGAGCAGATTCACAATTTCTTAAATGTCTTGGTCATAAAGGTCTGCAGGAATTAATGGGTAAAAAAAGAAATTAAAGCCCTGTTCCAGTGAATGTGTTTCCACAAGCAATTCAACTTTTGATTCCCCCAAGGTCAGGCACGTGTTTTATTGGGAAGGGAGGTGGGAAAAGCAGTTTCCAAGCCATAGGGTGTGGTGGGAGGACTGCTGTCCATGGGTGGCGCTCTGCAGCCGTGGGGAGCACTGCCAGGGAGCCTTTGTTCCCCCGGGCTCTCTGAACCCGGGGCTCTGCAGCTGCTGCGTTACAGGGAAACAGAGCGAGCCAGGGAAGACAATGGTGAGAAGAATTGGGTTTCTGATCACTGTGCATTTTGTTAATTAGTGAATTCAAATAGTTTTATTTTTACCAAAAACAGATAATCTTTATTCCAGTAAAGACAACTGTTGACTTGAGATATATATAAATATATATATATATTATTTGAATGGTTTATATCCTGTTGTTCTAACTACATAAAATGGAAACATGTTGCAAGTTGTGTCATTTCAATATACAAAATAAATGACTTTTCCCTGCATGCTGCCTGGGTATGTTGTGATTTGAATTAAGAGTTATATTTGAATTGCCTTATTCAAGAGGTTGTATGTTACCTAACTGGGGAATGACCTGGCACTGTTCATCACATTACATGTGTACTTGATGCTGTGTTATGTCAAATTCAGATGAGTTGTCTGTCATCTATGTATTTCGTGGGAGATCTTTTATCTTGTTAAACTGTGATATGTAAACCTTCATTGCCTGAAATAGTCACAGTTGTATAAATCAGTGTCTTCAGCTGTTTTCCTAATTTTAACACAATTCCTAACACAAAATATAGATGTTTGTAAATTCTTCATTCATTTGGTCTATTTTTATGTATGAGGCTTTTTTAATCTGGCAAAGCAATAAGATAAGGCAGCTTTCCCGGAATTTTTCAATCAAGGCTCAGCTACATTTCTATCCCTCGGCAAGAGGCAACAAGCAATTTTCAGCAGGGACAATTGGCATTGGGGATGTCTGTTTATTGCTGTTATCTCTCCTGGCTCGGATGGGCCATTATCACGGCAGACCGCGATGATGAATGACGAGCCAGACGTGCGGCTCCTGCAGTGACAGCGCTCGGGGGACCCCAGGCGCTCCGCAGCGCCTTCCTCAGCCCCGCAGCTCTGCGGGCCCGGGCTGGGAGGGAGGATGGGAGGGGAGGGGTCCCTGCAGACAGGAAACAGCTCGGAGAGCAGACCCCCAGGAGCCCACCTCCAGCTGGCAGACCACTGGAGCATTTCTGGACGATTCCATGCCTAAAATCCCCAGTAGAGCAGTGGTTGGGATCATTAAACACTCTGTCCGGAGTCAGTCGCGGTCCCTGCTCAGCTGTGCGGGTGCCCCAGTGTCCTGAGCAGAAGCAGCAGAGGTGGCTCGGGCACACGAACCACGCCCAGGCGTCTCAGCCGTGGTGTGAGAGCCCCACTGTGCTCTCCCCACTCTTCCAGCCCGGACCGCAGTTGTACAGGAAACGCTGCTCGTTTTTTATGTCAGTAACCATGAGAAACACATGGCCAGAGAAAAAGAAATTCCTGGAGCAGGACAAGCTGTGGTGGTCCTGGGTTATTGAATCTCTAGCCATGGCTTCGAGTGCTAAAAAAATTCCTATCCCATCCACAAACGTACCCATCTCTTTTTTTCTTTTTCTCCTTTTACTTCTGGCATGCTCCGGGTTGGAAGGCTGTCAAAAGGGAAAAATGCGCTGGGAAGGGCTGGGGGAGCATGGGGAGGAGGCTGCCAGAGGCAGCGCGGTGCGGCAGCCCGCGAACCGCCCAGAGGAGTGGGGGAAACAGGCTTGCTAGAGGAGAGTGTGCGGTAGAAATTCCAGTTTTCGCTCCAGCCCTTCGGGGGCTCTCAGCGTGACCCCAAGAGTGTCACGGCGGCCGTCGAGAGCCGCAGCGGCGCCACCGCGGCCGCCGAGACCGGCGCAGCTCAGCGCAGGCAACGGCGGGGGCGTGGCCCGGGGAGGCGTGGTTCCGTCTCTAAGCCCCGCCCTCTGATTCCATTGGCTGCCGTCGGCCCCTCCCCTGCCGCCATTGGCTGGTGCGCGGGCGGGTTTCCCGCGCGCGCGGCCGGGCGCGATGGCGGCGGAGCGGGGCATGGAGCTGGTGCGGGAGCTGCACCGCGCCGCCGGCGGGCACCTCCCGCCCTTCCGGGTGAGCACCGGGAATACCGGGAACACCGGGTGGGCCCCGCCGGCGGGCACCTCCCGCCCCTCCGGGTGAGCCCCGGGAGCAGCGGGGGGCCCGGCCGGCGGCCCGCGCTCACTGCCTGTGCCGCTGTTGCAGACGGAGGAGCTGCGGCAGGCGCTGGAGGAGATGCGGGCGCTGTACGAGCGGAACCAGGCGGATGTGTGAGTTGGGCGCTGCTCCCGGCGCGTCCCGCACAGCACGGGCGGCGCTCCCCGGCCCGCAGCTCTGCTCCTACTCCTCTTTCTCCTTCCCCTCATCCCCCAGGTCCGAAGCGAAGGCGGGACGGACGGACCTGATTTTCCTCATCCGGTTCCGGCACTGCTGCCTGCTCCGGAACCAGCGCTGCCTCCTGGCATACCTGTGAGTCCCCTGGGCTCATCCCTGCCGGCACAGCGTCCCCAGGGGCAGGGTGGCGGGACTCTCGGCCCGGGCAGGTGGCTTCTCCACGAGCAGCAAGGCAGCTGTGGAGCTGGTTCTCCTTGTGTTCGTTGCTGGTATCACCGCACAGAGAAGATTCTGCTTCCTGCTGCTCTTTAAAAGTTTAGATTAGTGGATGTCACTGTGGTCTGGGGATGTTGCCAGCACTCACCTCAGCAGAGGTGTTGGGTTTGCCCCATTTCTTCCCCTAGGTATGACCGGTTGCTACGGATCCGAGCACTGAGGTGGGAGTATGGCAGCGTTCTGCCCAACACCATCCAGTTCCACATGTCAGCTGAGGAAGTGAGTCAGCCTCATTTCAAACTCTTCCCCCCTTCCTATATATTCCTCCTGATGGATTATTTAATACAATCAAAATAGGGTAGTCTTCCCCCACTATAAACATGACATTTAACACGTCTTTCTGCAAATACTTACTTGTGTGTATTCATTGTCTGTGGGTACATGCCCACAGGTGGAGTGGTTCAATCGGTACAAAAAGTCTCTGGCTACCTACATGAGGTCAGTAGGAGGAGAGGAGGGGCTGGACCTCACACAGGACATCAAACCTCCTAAAAGCCTGTACATTGAAGTAAGTGTAAGGTTTCTGCCTTCTATCCATGAATAAACATTTCCATGACTATCTCTTTTTGAGCATTTCATCCCCATCCCAAGTCAGTTCATCAAGCAAAACCTTTCAGAGTTCCAAAGCTTTCACAGGTTTCTGTGTTTTACTCTGCCCGGCAGCATTTTACACCTTCTACTGAGAGCACAAAGTATGTTGAGAGATGGCACTTCTGGTCTGGCACTTCTGGGAGTTTGTGGTAGGGCGAGTTATCCAGTAGGAGATTTTTGCAGCTTTTTGCAGCAACTTTAACTAGAGCAACTAGAAACCATGTTCCCATGCCAAGGACTGTTACCTGGAGGGGGTGGTTGGTTTTTATTGGACTCTTACAGAGCTGTGTTTCCACTTTGCAGGTGAGGTGTTTAAGAGACCATGGGGAGTTTGAGATCGATGATGGCACTACCATCCTGTTAAAGAAGAACAGCCAGGTACCTGTGGCAGGAGTGTGGTCTGTTCTCTTCCTTCCCTTTCACTCCCGTGACATGCCCTGCTGCTTTGCTGGCCTTGCAGCATGTCCCAGTCCCTGCACACACAGCTCCTTGCACGTGCTGTCTGCATGGTCCAGAGTGCAGCTCTGCCTGATCTGGTACCATGAGGCACTGGATGTACAGCACAACAAACAGAGCTGGTTGTGTGCAGCAAAAATTCAAGGAGGGTTTTTCTCTGTTTCTGTGCAGCACTTTTTACCCCGCTGGAAATGTGAGCAGTTGATCAGACAAGGAATCCTGGAGCACGTTCTGTCCTAAGTGTGCAGGACAGGAGGGAGAGCTCTTGCTTGGTGACCTGCCCACGATGGGGACTGAGATCTGGTGTGTGCAGGACTTCAGAGACCTCCGTATTTCTGCAGTGGCACCCTGCCACTCCTCCTAACAGCCTTTGATGCCTTAAAACCACAGCTCTTCATGAGCAAAGGGTGCATGCTGGTAATACAGCAGTCCTGGGAATCCAGGATAGTGAGGGGGCATTATCCAAGCCCCACAGCTACACCCAGGGTTTGTGAATGCATTTTTGTTTGGAGTAGTTCTTTGTTCACACTGTGCATCTAAGACACCAACTGGCTGGGCTGTAGAAGCCAGGAAAACTCCATGGTTGCAAAATAAAGAATTCCTTCAGTCTCTTGGGTTTTTAAGAGTTAATGTGGTGTTCATTCAGCACTGATCTGGCTCTCCAGCCAAACACATCCTGACCCTGCAGTGTGATGGTTATTTAAGTATCTCAGTGGAACTGCTCCTCCAAGTGTCAGATAAGGCTGCACAAGGTTCCTTCCAGGATTACACATGAAGCCTTGTCCCCATCAGAGACCCATAAATGTGGTTTCTTGAGGTGCTGTGTGAATGATCATTGCAGTCTGGGTCATAGGCCTGGGTTTTTCCCAGTGTGCTTGGCCTGTGCCTCTGTTCCTGTGAAGAATCTCTTATCCCAGAGCACTGGTCTGGCTGGGCCTTTGGGCTAGTTGGAGTAGGAGTGGGAGAGGGTTTAAGGATTCTGGTTAGCACAAAACCAGAACAAGGCTGAAGAGTTGCTTTCCCTGTCTGGTTTTCCTAATGGAGCAAAAACACAGGCTCTTGCACTGTGTCTGGGAAAACACTTGCAAAAACATCAGCCCTAGGTAAGACTGGAGGTGTGCTTAGCCTCCATCTCAGACTGGAGCTGAAAAAGCAAACAGCTGAGGGAAAATGCAGGAACAGGATAAATGCCTGGGACATTACAGCATTGCTCTGTCGTGCTCACTGCAGAGGCCACAATCTGGTTGGGTTTGGATCCTGGGCTCAGGCTGTAGGAGGAGCTGTTGGCAATAAATGTTCAGCAGCAGTTGGGGAAGGTGACTGAAATACAGAGCAGACTGGGAATAGCAGGAGGTGCTGTAACATTACAAATTTTTTAATGCCACAACTCAGGAGTGACCAAGCACAGAATCCTGCAAGCCCTTCTGCCCTGACTTTCGAGATGTAACTGTGGCTCCAACATCAGCCTTCTGCAGAGAGGGAGCACCTGCACCACCCCCAAACACTGCCAAAGGAAATCCTGTGAGCTGGCTGTCCTGAGACAAACATGACATAACAGCACACTGCCACTGGGAAAGGCACCAAGGCTGCTGCTTTCAGTTGGAAAATTCAGCTATCCATAAGACCAGTTTCCTCAAAGGACTCTAGGCTCCCCATCTGCTATTTTCTGCACAGGAAAATCCTGGCAGGACCAGAGAGGATGAGGCTGATTTCCCAACCCAGCCATATCTCCCATTCTGCACCTGACCAGCCCCAGCCAGGAGCAGGGGCTGCCACTGCAGATGTTCCATCACCCACTCAGAGATGCTGGTGTGATTTTTCCAATAAGCTGCTTCAGAGCTGAGGCTTGTTCCTCCAACAGCTGGTTCTTCTCCTCCATGCTCTTCTGCTTCAGCTCAGCAGCCTGCAGGGCCATTGCAAACCTCCTGTTCTCTCCACGGAGCTCTTCAATCAAGAGCTTGTTCCTGGAGAGTTGGGCCTAAAGCAGGGACAGGAGACTTCAGGTTCAGCATCCCAGGCAGGGGCACCAGATGGGCAGGGACACACAGCACCAGCCCCTCTGCACTCACCTGGGCATCTCTGAGCTGAGCTGCCCTCTCTGCCAGCACAGCTTCAGCATTCCTCAGACTCTGCTCCAGCCCCTCTGCCTGCTCCACAGCTGCCTGCAGCAGCTGCTCGTGTTCCTCCTGCAGAGGGCAAGAAAGTCTGTGTGTGGGTTGTCCCTGCACTCTCCTGGCCTCTGGCAACCCTGGACTGTACATTTCCCCAACAGGCCCTGTTCATGGACCCTCATGCTCCTTGAGGCAGAGCAGGGGGGTCCATCAGAGGTGCAGGATACAAAGAGCAGTGGGACAGGGGTCTAGAGCAGCACAACCTTCCCTAGGTCTGCACCCAACCAGTTTAAGACAAGGCACAGATTTTCCAGCAGTTTTTTCTATAAAAAATAAGCCATTGGCCTCCCCTTTCCCAGCCAATCCAGGAAAGCTCAGAGAGAGACAAAGTCTCCTTGTGCCTGCTCATTACAATTCCTATCTTTGCCCAGAAGACAAACTCACAAAAACCCAACACCTGGTTGCTCAGTGCCCTAGAGATAAATTCACCTGTTTGAGTGCAGGCTGGTGACTGGAGGATTCATGAAGAATTAAAGTTGCAGCTGAATTTGAAGGTAAGTGCATTTTCTTTGTGGGTTCTTTACCATCTTCCACCCAAACCTCTGGTGGCTTCACAGAGGTCACAGCTGCCTTCCAGTGTTCCCTTCACAGTACCCTTGACTGAGCTCCTGCAATTCCCTGCTTACCTGGATCCTGACCAGCTGCCTGCATGTCTGCTCAGCCTGCAGCTGGAGGCTTTCCTGGAGCTGCTGAGTCTTGCACTGTTCCTCTCTCAGGGTGTTTTGCAGCTGCTCAAACTGCTTCTTTGGCACCATGCTGTTTATCTGAGCCTTGGCCTGCTGCAACTGCAGAGTGTACTGGGCCTGGGTGAGGCTCAGGCTAGCTTTGGCTTCCAAAAGCTGTAACACAGAAAGGTTGACAGCTGGTTACAGCTTTGAGCCCACAACAGGACAGGCCAGGCTGTGTTTTGGGGCAGAGGAGAGGTCAGACAGTGCCCTCAGCCCTCGCCTCAGCTCTCACCCCAGCACAGGCACAGCAGAGCTGCAGCACCATGGCAGTAGTGCTCACTGGGCAGCCTGCAAAGCTAGGGAGTGAGAGCACTGAGAGCTGCAGGAGGAGACACAGAGACCCCTTGCTGAGAGATGCTTCCCCCTGCTTCCCCCTGAGCAGTGAGGAGCAGGAGGATTCTCTGGGAGGGAGTCCCAGGACCAAGGGCTACAAGAGCAAGAGACAGAGGGGGCTGCTCACTTGGGTTCTTGGATACATCCCAGGCTAGCTGTGATGTACTGAATGTCCTGTACTACATGTCCTCTGCTTCCTGTCACCAGCAAAGGGCAAAACTGGTAATGGGAAGCAGATCTGGTCCAACTTTGGGATGGCTGGCATGGGTAAGCCGTACTTTGGAAAGCCAGTCCCCAGGGTAAAATGCAGGAGAGGATTAATAACACATTGGAAGGTTTCTCACATTGGCTTTCCTCCCTCTGTCCTGGTGATCCACATTGCTCTGCTCTAACCACCTCATTTCCCATCCCTCAACAAGCCCTGCCTGGCTGCTGTCATCCCTTCCCAACCCTTATCCAATTCTGCCACTGCTCCAGCTCCTCTGTCAGCTGAGCCATGGGGAACCACAGCTCCTAGCACCCCTGTGAGAGCCACCTCCCCTCTGCCCAGCCAGCCTGCACAGGACAAGGATAGGAGGGCATCACAGGGACAAGCAAGCAAGGAGCTCTCCCCAGCTGCACCTGAACTGGATTCAGCCATGGCTGAGCAGGAGGGAGAATCCTTTGTCCTCCACAAAGAGGAAGAGTACATTTTTCTGAAAACTTGGACACCCTCCCTTCTGGGGAAGGTGTCCAGCACAGCCCCAGGCAGGACAACACCAACATCACAGAGTTCATCAGCAGCCTGCCACTGAATGAAGGACACTCACCTTTTCCTGTGAGGCCTGGAGCTGCTGTTGGAGCCGCTCCATCTCCATCCAGCCTGCTGCATGCCTCTGGTGGTGCTCCAGCCTGGCAGCAATCTCTGCCCCTCGTAGCCACTCAGCCTCCAGAAGGCTCTGGCTGTGCAGCTGGGCAGTGCCAGGGCCAGCACTGTCACCAGCCTTGTGCTCAGGGGGCTCACAGCCCAGCTGAGGCCTCTTGACATCCTGGTGAGAGAGCCCCTCCTTGCCCTCATCACTCTGGAAAAGGTGGAGAAAAGAAACAACAAATCATGCACAGGATGCTTGGGGTGGGAACACAGGCAACAAAGACTGACTGAGCCATATGGGTGTGAGACTGGGAGGGAGAGAAAGCTCAGGGAGAAAGAGTGAAAGTAGTGAAAGTCATTATGTCATTAGAGACTTTCCCCTTCTGTAAGACTTTCAATGTCACACAAGTTTTCACTGCTTTACAAGTTATAAGATGAAGCTGGTCCTTCAAAGGAAGACTGGGTTTGAATGTTTGAAACAAATATTTTTGCTCTCCTCTATGAACATGTGCAGTTTTTGCCCTTCTAAATCCTTCAGCCAAGAGCCTGACAGTTGGGGTTGATGGCTTCCTACCAATGCTGTTAACTCTGCTATTTCAGCCTCTCAGCTCCTCCAGCTTCTCTCTACCCAACTCACTCCTGTTCTTGCTGCTGGGAAGAGGGATAGGATCAGCTTCAGGCCACAGAGCAGCAAAGAACAGCCCCCAGAGGAGAGCTCTGTTTTGGGTAGTCCCACATCTGGGTTTGGCCTGCAACAGGAAGCAAAGCCAAGCCAAAACAGATATGGCCCTGAATCAATGTAGGAGTGAGTCAGGTGCCTCTGCCCCAGCAGGTGACTCAGCCCAGCCCAGCCCAGCCCAGCCCAGGACAGACAGCCTGGGGACATCCAAAGTCCTGCAATGCTGTCAGAGACCTAAAACCAAGGAATGAAGAACTATGGGAGGGACAGTTTAGCAGATGGGGATCATCCACACCAGAAACCTGCCTCTCCCCAGATTTATGGCTCAGTGGGTGACCCCAGTACCTATCTAAAGCTTCCTAAGGAGGAAATCCATCCCATGTTAACTCTTCAGCAAGCTGTTCTCCAGCAGCCAGCACGGGTCTCCTGTGCAGGGAGAGACAGCAGAGTTAGAAAACCATGCACAAGCCCCATTTGGGGGCTGGAATTCTGTGCTGGCTCCCTGATTTCTTCCAATTTGGTTTCCAATGACAGCTAAGGACTAAGAAAAACCGAGAAAAAACCTTCCAATAGCTCAGGCAAAACATGTGGGACAATCAAGAGACAAGACTAGAGAAGGAGCAGGTCTTCAAGGGAAGGGAAATAAAGGGGAATAAGGACAAAGAGCATCAGACTGAATTGATGTGGCTTCCAGCTGGCTAAAATTATTTGGCAGTCCTGTGGATACAAAGTGATTTGACTCATCCAGACACACCAAGACTTCATTACAGGGTGACAGGTGGTGAGGCCAACCCCTCAACTGCAATAAAGCCAGGTCTGGAGAAATCAGCTTGTTTGTGAGGCCTCTGTGATTTCACAGTGCTGGACACAAAGCTGGGACTCCAAATCAAGGTGGCCTCATTATCCTTCTGTGGGTACTCCCAGTCTCCCAGGAGGCCATGAATACTGGCACATGTGGGAATGAACCTTAGTCCTGTGTTGGACACTCCTATCCAACAACTGCTGCTAAACACCAGAGCCATACAGGACCCAAATCCCTCAAGGGAAGGTGCAGGATAACAGACCATCCATCCTGGCAGGGAGGACAGCACTGCAGTTTGTGGCAGTGCCTGTGGCATGCAGAGAGCTGTGTGAGGAAGTTCTTCCTCTCTCCTTGAAGCACAAGGACCAATCCATGGGCTATGTGGTGTTTGCTCACCTCAGTGTAGCTGCTTTTGGGAATTTTACATTGGATTCACATGCTGTGCTTCCTGTGGCATCTCCAACATCCATGTGGCAGAGGAGATGAGTGTGCAGTCAGCCACAGCCACAGGAGCACATCCCAGCTCCCTGACCACACTCTTACCATCAGTAAAAGACATAATATAGCTTTTGTCTACATGTGCATAATATTGCTTTTGTCCACATGTGCTCAGTAATATTTATTAATTGAAGTATCCTAGCTCATAGCCCACTTCATGAGAGCAGCAGAACAAAGCTGCTGTTGGAACATCCAAGAGAACACAGCTGCTGTTACAGTGTTCAGCAGCCTTGTGTCTCACAAAGCCTCTGCTTTTTCTTTGCAGCAGCATGTTAGATCTTCAAACTACCTTTGCAGTCAAACCTGACACTCTCTTGAGCTCTGGGTTCATTTTCCAAGTACTGCACAATATCTTTGAGCTGCATCAGCTCCAGTTTCAACCTGTTCCTCTTCCTCTTCAGCTCTGTATTGACAGCCTGAATGTCAGGTTTCCTCCTATGCTGTTACACCACTGTCTCCCAGAGCATTTTTCCTTCTCTTCTTGCCCTGCAGGTCAGGTTTATGTCCTGAGATGTCTGCTCTTTGAAGGCATTTAACTCTGCCTCCTTCCCAAGCACATCCCCTTGTCTCTCAAGATTCAATTTCTCCCTGACAAATGCTTTCCACTTTGTCTCCAGCTGCTAGATTGAACAGGCCATTTGTTACAACAAACATCTGCACTGTTTACACTGGTGTGTCCATCGTACAATTGCTCATTTCTTCTCTGTTCCCTCAGTGTTGAAGTTGCAACAGAAGATTTTGGTCTACCTGCTCATGTGAGTCTTAGAGGATCAGCTCATTTTCCCGCAGAGGACAGTTCTCCAGTCACCTTGTCCCTTCCAACAGCAGAGCCCTCAGCTTCACTGTCTCTGCATTACTCCCATTTCATCCTGGTGCCTTTTTAATCTTGTCATACCCAACACCCAGCATTCTTCACATCTTGGCGTGTTCATCATTAACCTTTTCTTACAACTTGAGCTACCTCTGCTTCCACAGAGACTTGGTCTTTTTTCTTCTGTTTCCACTGCTGCCTCTCATGGGTGCCCTGCTCTGGAAGGCCTCACCTTGGAGCCTTCATTGTTGGGAAATCACCTCCTCTCACACCAGTGCTGCTGCAATGAAGTCTTACAGCTGTCCTCATGCTGGCATTCACTCCATGACAGCTCTTGCTATGCTCAGCCTCTGCATCTTTCCTAAAGACAAAAACCATCTTGCTGACCTGGGTTTGATATCACAGCCTGAAATGCTCAGCCAGCCTCTGAATGTACATTTGCTGGAGATGCAATACAAAGGGTTTTCTATGTTGCAAAGTTAAGGCAATTTGTTAAACTTCACAGAAAGTTCCCACACCTTTTGCACTTCTTAAAGACATCCAATTACATCTTTTCCAGCAACTCTGAAAGCTCCCCACTGCAGTCAGTCCATCTGCCATTCACCAGAGATAAAACAGCTTAAATGCCTTGTATTCCTGTTATTTGGGTTTGTTTCCCTGGTCTACCACAGACTTCAGCCAAATCACCTCCCTTCTCCCTCACCTACTCCATATCTCAGCCCTAAAACAGTGATAATGACCTAGCAAAATCCTCTGCTGGCATATTGCCAAGGGGAATCCTGATCCCAAAGGGAGACACAGCAGGGCAGAGGCAGGAGGAAGGGAACATAAACAGTTATTCAGTGACAACCTCTTTCTTTCACAAACCAGTCTCTTTTACCTATATGGAGAAATTGAAGACATTTTTTACTGCTTTTAAGATAGCAAGGTGTGATCATCTAGCAAGTAGAGGCAGGTTTGCTGAAGGACCAAGAAAGAGGTAATAAGAAAACACTAATGAAAGCTCTTTTATACCTCTCACTATGTTAAGATACAGTCTTTGCTGGGCACTGCCTCTAACACAGCCTTGTAGAACATGCAGGGAAACTTAGAG